CGAGGCGCAGAGATAGAGACAGACTCACAGCAAGAGAGACACAGACAGAGACACAGAGTGGATATGAAACCCTTCACCAATGGGGACAGAGTGACGGTTGGAGGAGGAGGAGAAGCGCGGACTTGGCGGCGGCGGCGGCGGCAGTGAGGGGTTGAGCAGTCGGGGAGGGAGCGGCCCCGAGAGGCGGGACAACTCGGCGCTGATGGCGGATCAGGTCAGTGAGACGGAGTGTGAGAGCGTGTGGGTGTGTGAGCGCGTGTGGGTCTCAGTCTCTCTCTCTCGGTCTCTCACACACATTCCGAGTTATCAGATAATTAATAAAACTCGTGAAAGTCAATCTCTCTCTGTGTTTCTCTGATCAGTTCGCGCTCACTCAGGGCCCGGATCAGCGCAGACTTCCTGCGCGGATGTGGACAAGACGGAAGCTACTCCTCGGCTCCCGTCACCGCCTTCACTCCTGAGGATCTGAGCTCCTCAACCTCCCCGGACTCTCCTCAGACTCCCCGAACCATGTGCCCAACCCCGGGGTCCGGCTCGACCCCACCGTCCTTCCTCCCCACATCCCGTCCCCCACCAGGACCACCTTCCTCCACCTTCGCAACATTGTGCGCCTCAACCGTCCGGACCCCGACTGCGGCCGAAACCCTCGGGCACGTGTTTGTCACCTCCCGCCCGGATTCCTCCAACCCACTCCTCACCGGTCTCCCCGCGCCACCATTCACAAGATCAGCTCATTCAGACTCTGCCGCCCGCAGACTGACCCCAACAAACTCTGTCCCACCTCTCACCAGCTCCGGCCCGGGCCCACGGGCTCCTCATCACCAAACCGACCAACCTCAAGATCCTCTCACTCTCGCCCCTCACTCCCTCTCCAACCTCCTCAATCCATCACCCAGTCAGCGCCTACAGTCGACTGGCACCGGCCTCCTTCGCGTCCCTTGCTCGCTCCGCTCTACCATCAGAGGTCACGCTTTCAGTCACTACACTAGAAATCTCTGGAACACTCCCGTTCAATCCCTCCGCGTTCCCCTGTTCTCCCCTTTTTCAAATTCTACCTGAAAACTTTCCTTTTCGACTGTCGTTACAGCCTCCTCCGCTAATCCCTCCCCCCGGCTTGGAGTCAGGCTCCATCACTGTTAAGCTCAGAGAAGCTGCCCTACATAGAGGGCGCTATATAAGTGCAAGTTGTTGTTGTTTGTGGTTGAGGGAAGCTGAGCTGTGCAGTATGTCTGTGTATGTGTGTGTGTGGTTGCCTGTGTGTCTGTTTGTGTGTGTGAGATTGTATGTGTGTATGTACATGTGTGATTTTATGTGTGTGTGTGTTTGTAAATGTGTGTACATGTCTGTACATATTATCAATGAGACCTCTATATAGACTGATATTAACAGTCTACCTGCTGCCTGTCTCTGTGTGTGTGTGTGTGTGAGTGTATGTATGTCATGGATTGAATAACCAAATTATTATTAAATTGAAGGTTTATTAACCCTGGAAAGTGATCTAACACCTGGGTTCCTACTGATCAGCCCCGAGGCTGTGGAACTCTATCCCCCAGTGCCTTCGCTGCCTCCTCCCTTTCCTCCTTCAAGGCCGGTCTGAAGTCCTCTCTTTGACCGTGCCTTCAGCTCCCCTCTCGACTCTCTAACCCCTCCTCGCTCCTTCCCTTCCCTCACCCTGACCATTTCCCCAATGCTCGGATCCTGACCCAACTGTACAGCGCCTTGGGATATCCTCCTAACGTGAAAGGCACTCTACAAATGGAATCTTGTTGTTGTTGTTGTTAATGCCAGGTAAACAGTGATGTGAAATAAGGAAACTTGCCCAACTTTTCACCATGTTCAGGGATAAACCAGGGTCCTCTTGTGAGGCGAGTGCAGTAATCAATAAGCTACAGGACTCCACAACAGGAGCTGAGTGGGAAGAGTCCCTGTCCCAGGGTCTGGTCTGTTCCTCCCAGTCCTGCTGAGCCAGGCTGGGCCGCTCTGTGGCAGACAGTGACTGTGGCTCAGCCTGGCTCAGGACCGGGGGGACACAGAGAGAGAGGAAGAACAGAGAGAGGCACAGAGAGAACAGAGAATGGCAGAGAGAAACACACAGAGAGACAGAGAGAGGCAGCAACAGAGACCTTGAGTGACAGAGACTAAGAGAGAGACAGAGATACCGAGCAACACAGTTAGAGAAAGAGTTACAGAAATAAAGGGATATAGAGAGAGACAGAGAGAGAGAGAGACATCATATAGCTGATATTGACAGTGACACCTCTGTATCGTGTGATATTAACAATGTCACCTCTCTATGTCGATATTAACAGTAACACCTCCCTATAGACTGTCCCGCCCTGTGACACCGCAGTCCGGAGTCTCCTGTATCTGCTCCTCATTCTGTGTCGTGTCTCACATCTCATCACAGCCAATCCTGACATCACAGCCTCACAAGTCACACGGAGAGATTGTACATCCGCCCATTTTATTGTGATACCAACACAACACAAAGCAAAATGACATTTCACGATATGAGTTTGTCCCGGGACATAAACTTGGTCACTATTCCGGTCAGTTTAGGAGGACGAGGGGTGATCTAATCGAGGATTTTAAAATAATAAAGACATTCGATAGTGTAGATACAGAGAAATTGGAATCCAGAACAAGGGGGGCATCATCTTAATATTAGAGCCGGGGTATTTAGGAGTGAAATTAGGGGTAGTTTTTCACCCAAAGGCCGGTGGGAACCTGGAACTCTCTCCCCCAAAAGGCTGTGGATTATGGTTGGATCCATTCTCACTGTCCAGACGGAGGTGGGGAGAGGTTTGTCAGGTCGGGGTGTTAAGGGATACGGGGCAAAGGCCGGTAACTGGGGTTGGGGTACAGATCAGCCGTGATCTTACACAATGGCCGAACAGGCTCGAGGGGCTGAATGGCCTCCTCCTGTTTCTATGATCCTCGACTTTCTGCCCATTAACCCCCGAACCTCTCTCTGATTGATCACCCTCACCCCTGTCAGAGGGTCAGGTCAGTGTCAGGTCGGCGTTAGGGCCAGGGCTGAAGTAAAGGAAGTGTTTCCCAGTGAACATGTGGATGAAAGTGAAAGGATGAGACATGTGGTCGGCGTCGTACAGCGACACCTGTCTTCCCGCATAGTCCAGGTACACTCCCAGCACCTGGGGGTCACACTCAGTGGGAGGGGGGTAAGAGGTGAGGTTGGAGCTTTATATTCCGCACTGTACAGCCCCACAGCCCAGACTCCAGCCTCAGTTCCTTGTGTGAAATTCCCCTTCCTAAGCAAACTCTCGGGCCACCCCCACTATACAGTGTGTGCTGTTCCTCACCCCCACCTCCCAGTAACGTCTCCCTGATGTGAACCCCTCAGACCCCAGGTCACTGGGTCAGTAACTGAACCTCTCCGGGGTGTCAGGAACCTGCTGACTCTAACTCGGGTCCGGTCCTCAGACAGGATGAGCCGGGGATGGGTTGTGTTAGGATCCAGAGTCAGAGAGGCTGGAGCTGAAACACAGAATGTTGACATGTTGGAGATCGTGTGGTGAACGGTTGACATTATATTTCAATGGTTCTTTCCGTGAGGTTTGGATTCCTGCTCTGTGTGTCTCAGGTTACACATGGGACCCAGTAATGTCTGGCTGTGACCCGGGGCCCGGCACCGCGGGCTGAGGTGGGCTGAGCTCCCAATGATCTTATTCAGCATTCCCGACCGAGGGGATGAGGAATGAGAACAAGACATTTACTGCACATCTATTCCCAGAGTCAAACTCCAATCACAGGAACACAGTAAGAGCCAGTGTTACCTGCAGTGATGCCCTTTAACAGGAGTTTCCACTCTCTGCTCTGCAGAGACCCAATGAGGTCCCTCTCAGCCACATCAACAGACACTTTTGTGGATTTCTTGATGTCAACAGCAGACCGGGGCACAAGATAGAGATTTGTTTCATTAAATTCAGGCACAATATCGATGACTCAGGTGGAGATTTTCACCATCACCACCATTGTGGAGTCCTGCAACTGAAGAGTTAGAGCACTCGCTTCACAAGCCAGAAGATCCTGTTTCGATTACCAGGTAGGGCAAAACATTAGGTAAATTTCCTTCCATTACAACTCAGTGCTTTCCTATTGACACCTTGTAAGTAAGAACCAAGTTGTTAGTCGATTAGCAGATCAATTTTCCAGAGGTAATAACCTCTTGATTCCAATTTGCTTGGGACACTGCAATGGGCTGCTGTGTTTCTCCCAGAAAATATAGAATCATTTACGGTGTTTTCTATTAAGTGCTTTGCATCACCTCAAAGAGCTGATAAAGCACTCTATCAAGTGATAGGATTATTATTATCATCTAAATTCCCTGTAGAATTTGGAAATAGACTGGACAGATATAATGTTCTGGGCTCTCACACCCGTATGTTTCTCTGTGACTAATAACACTTTCTGTTACACAAAGGGAATGTCACAAACTAGATGGACAGAAGGAAAGATTACAGACCTGTCAATGATGGATTTGATATCCTGAAAAGAAATAAAAGTAAGGAGAGTTACAGTCAATCTTGCACACAGCCATCGAGATGAATTTGAACAGCTATGAGGCAGCTTAATGCTGCGATTCCTGATAACTTATCATTCCGAGGCAACAGGTCTCAGTGACAAGGTATCAGGAGTGGCCAGTAAGGCATATGTATACATTCATAAATAAATGAGGCCGGGATAGTGACAACGTGATGACGTCAGGGGTCGTGACAAGTTAAGTCAGTGTTGTGTCATCAGCAATCTACTGTTTCAATGAATTAAAACTAAATTTCTGATCAGAGTCACAGCAGTTTGTAGTAATTCAATCATTTAAGGTCACACAAAATACTTCCCCCTCGTATACATCTCTTTCAAAATTCAGCTTTAACATCCTCACCTGTCTATCTATCACACCAGACACACACCAGCATTAACACACTCACTGTCTGTCTATCACACCAGACACACAGCCTATGCACCTTCAGGAATTCGGTGTTCTGCAGAGTCAGTGTTTTCTGGATTTCTGCTATTCTCTGATTAATAGAAGTAATTTGCTTGGAAATGTGGCTCTTATTGTTTTCTATTTGGCCCACGATGGCCTCCTCCTGCAGTCTGAGTTTGGTGATCAGGTCTCGCTGCTCCTCAGTCAGCAGCTGGTGACGTTTAGCAAATTCAGCGTCGATGTTCTTCCTCAAATGCTCGGCTTGTCTCTGTCTCAATAAACACAATGTTAACATTATCCAACACAAGAACAGGGGCTCAGCCTGTCAGTCACGGTGACATTGCCCATGAACCTGCTGATATCATCCTGAGTGGGAGGGTAGCGAGGTCTCCTGAACTGAATCCAAGGTGACCTGCCTGGCAATGGAATGGCGGCATCGAGAGAGGCCTCTGTGACGGTCTCTTGTCCAGTTCCTGAGCCAGGCCGGTCCACCCTATCCCAGGGCACTGCTGATAACGGCACAGCCCAGCCTGGCTCATCGGCAGGACCTGGATAGGCAGACGAGTCACTGTGGGCAGTGAGTAAACCCACTCATCTCCTGTTAACCCTGCGATATCAAGCCCTAACCTGTAGGGTGGTCCTGGTTGGAAACAGCGGGAAAGTTTGTCATACAGCAATATCAATGGGATGGGCTATATCAGAGCTGATATACAAACCCCTCACCTTCATTTCCAGTTGAGTAGCTCCTTCTCTCTGACACCGAGACATTTCATCCAACTGTTTGTGAAGGGTTCCAGGGCTTTCTGCAGCTTTTGCTGAAACAAAGTGAATGTAAGTAAACAGGGAGAAGGGACAGAGTCACTATTACTGGTTGAGGATATTCCACTTGTGTAACAGAGCTGTAATATTCTATTCCACTCGATCGACACAGTCAGATGGTGAGGCCGCTCAGAACTTCTGGATTTACCTAACATGCCGTCAGCAAACCAGCCAACACCAGGGCTCGAACACACAACCTTCTGACGCAGAGGCCGGCGAGATTGCTGCTCAGTGACCGGCTGTACACAATATCATCTCTTTCCTAATATGTCACATAGAGTGTAACAGCACATAGACAAAGCTTCATCTGCTGGACTAAACTTTCGCTTGGTCATCAAACCAATCTTACATATAAAACACCTGGTTCAGTGGATCAGATTGTGGCGTCTGAGTCAGGAGTTTGTGGGACATTGGTGCGTGCAAATAGGCAGCTGTGCTCACTGTCAGGTCACTTTAGGGTTCCATAAACCTGGTCAGTATTCCCTTGAGTTTAAAAGGTTGAGGGGTGATCTGAATGTGGTGTTTAAATTAATAAAGGATTTTGATAGAGCAGATACAGAGACAGTATTTCTTCTGGTGACAGAACTCAGAAGAAGGGGAATAACATTAGTTAGAAACCTGGAACTCTCGCCCCCAAAATCGGTGGATTAAGACTGAGGTGGAAAGAGTTTTGTTAGGTCAGGGTATCAAGGGATATGGGGCAAAGATTGGGATTTATAGTTGATGTACAGATTAGCCATGATCTAACTGAATGGCAAACAGGCTTCAAGCCCTGAATGGTCTCCTTCTGTGCCTATGTTCCTGCTGCTATGTTTATCGCGTATTCTGAGGCACTTTGAGACATACTCACAAAGCGGTGTGAAATGTCAGGATTAATATCAATTCCATACCTTGTGGAGCTCAGCAGCTTCCTTAATGGGAATGACTGTGTGATCCTTGTGATCACGGGACATCGCACAGACCACACAGATCGCTCTTTGATCCATTTCACAAAACAGTTTCAGCTTCTCCTCATGCTCTTCACACTGGATTCCCACCTCTTCCAGCCTCGGATTCAGGCTCAGTCTCTGAACACTCTCCACCATGTTAGACAGAGTTCTGTTGGGCCGAACACTCCTCTGGGGAATCTGCTGCCTGTACTGCGGACAGGACACACTTTCTTGCCCTGTGCCCCAACACTGTAAAATACAGTTCTGCAGAAGCTGTGGCCACAGTTTACAGTCACCGGATCCGTATAAAACTCCAGACAGATTGAACAAGTGGCTTCATTTCTCAGGTTCTCCAGTTCCTGTACAGACGCCATTTCACCATCAGCTCTTTGCTCTGTTTGGGACTCTCCCCCAAACCAGGACGTGGCTTTGTGGGTGGGGATCACAGACCAACTGCTGTTTGAAGGGACAGACACCTGAAGACAAAAGGAACACAGATGTTTAGCACATTCAGGCCATTCGTATGGTCACGTCTCAGAATGTTTAATAATAATAATCCTTGCATTTTGATATAGCACTTTATCCTGTCTTCAAGATGTCTAGAAGCACTTCTTCTCTAATTTAATTTAATGATTACAACAGTGTAATAATCATAATAGTAATAACCTTTGCTTATTATTTTGTGCCTGATCATATCTTCGAGATGTCTCAAAGCGCTACACAGAATATCAAGTGAATTCACTATGTGTTTTGTTGGCGAAACGTGAAGACAATTGCACACAGCAGTGTCCCACAGGCAATCGTGGATTGACTGACCAAATTTTATTTGTTTATGAAAAATACTGAAGGATTTTTAAAGGATTATTAGTCCCAGAAAAGTGATCTGTCCACTGACTAACAATCAGATTTCAACTTACTGCTCAGTAAACAGAGTCATGGGGTAAGGAAACTTGGCCAAAGTTTCGACCTCCTGGGAATCGAACCCAACTCCTCTGACAAGTGCTGCAAACATTACCCAAAAGGACCCCACAATAATACAATTCAACTTCATTTGATCAATCAACAGCCAATGAATAAAAGTACACAAAGCATTTAATAAACATCTGAAGCAAATAAAGTCGTGACTCCGAACAGAGAGATTGAGAAGCGATCAGTTTCTCTTCTCTGATGTTTCCACAGTCTAAGTCGCTGACTTTTGTTTCTTCGACTTCATTTCATTTCATAAATCAAACCGATATACACAAACTCTCTGTAGATTAGTCACTGCTTTATCTGCTGAATATTGTGTAAACACTATCTGGACTCGAATACAAGAACATGTAGCAATTAAGCAATAGTTAAATATTGTTTAAACACAACAGAGGTTGTAATGGAGTCGGAAACCATGACCTTTCCCCGGGATAGTGTCCTCAGTGTCAGATCTTCTCAGACGCCCCAACAACAGCCGTCAGACGGAGAAGGCCACAGCCTCAGACACCGCTCACCTCAGGGCTGAGAAACAAGCAGCGGGGGACGGGGGACCAGACGGGGAGGCGCTGCCCACCAGTGCTCCATCTCTCTCTCTCTCTCTCTCTGCAAAACAGCTGCTCCCGGTCACCAGCAGCTCGAGAAGGTGCGGCCACAACGCCATTTCCCACCAGAAACAAACTGCAGACAAAAGGCAGGAAAACTGGGATTCAGTGACGGGGGGAGACGGCGTTACACACTCACACACACACACTCTCTGTCTCTCACTGACCCGATCCCCCATCAGCGCCGAGTTGTCCCGCCTCTCGGGGCCGCTCCCTCCCCGACTGCTCAACTCCTCGCCGCCGCCCCACGTCCGCGCTTCTCCTCCTCCTCCAACCGTCACTCTCTCCCCGCCCACTCGCTCCCCATTGGTCCTTTCACAACATCCGACAATTCGATCAGCATTTCTGATTCATCAGCGCTTCTGTCAATCAGATACTGAGCTGTCATTGCCCCGTTTCCACGTCAATCACCTCCCGCCCCCCACCGCCTCGCGCTCTCTGCCCAACCGTCACTCTCTCCCCGCCCTCTCGCTCGCCATTGGCCGCCACGAACACCCGCCTCTCAGTGGAGCTTCCGATTGCTCAGTCGAGTTGTCAATCAGACACTGGCTGTCAGCGGTCCGTTTCCACGTCAGTCATCTCTCCTCTTACCCGCCTCGCGCTCTCTGTCCAACCGTCACTTGCCTCCCGCCCACTCGCTCGCCATTGGTCGAGTCCAACACCCGCCTCTAAACTCTCGTTCCATTGGTGCGCTGTGTTGTCAATGTGACTGATGGCGCCCTGATAGGCCTCGTGTCCACGTCAATCATCTCCTCCTCCCCCCCGCCCCGCGCTCCCTGACCAACCGTCACTCTCTTGTCTCCTGTTCCTCCCTTTTCTGAAGTGTCTGAAGAGAACAACAACAACAAGATTCCATTTATAAAGCGCCTTTCACGTCAGGAGGACGTCACAAGGCGCTGCACAGTTGGGTCATGACCCGAGCATGGGGAATGGTCAGGGTGAGGGGAGGGAAGGGAGGGAGCGAGGAGGGGGGAAATGGTCAGGGTGAGGGAAGGGAGGGAGCGAGGAGGGGGAAATGGTCAGGGTGAGGGGAGGGAAGGGAGGGAGCGAGGAGGGGGAAGAGAGTCGAGAGGGGAGCTGAAGGCACGGTCAAAGAGAAAGCTCTTGAGACCGGCCTTGAAGGAGGAAAGGGAGGAAGCGGCGAAGGCACTGGGGGATGGAGTTCCAGAGCCTCGGGGCTGAGAGGCTGAAGGCCCGACCACCGATGGTAGGGCGGTTGGGGCGGGGGACGTGGAGCAGACCGGAGCCAGAGGAACGGAGGGTACGGGCAGGTAGGTAGGGGGATAGTAGGTCAGAGAGGTAGGAGGGAGCGAGGCCGTGGATGGCCTTAAAGGTGAGGATGAGGATCTTGAAATCAATCCTCTGGGGGATGGGGAGCCAGTGGAGGCGAGCGAGGGTGGGAGTGATGTGGTCGCGGTGTCTGGTGCGGGACAGTACACGAGCTGCAGAGTTCTGAATGACCTGCAGCCTGTGGAGGGAGGTGGCGGGAACGCCGGCGAGGAGAGAGTTCCCATAGTCCAGCCTTGAGGTGACAAAGGCGTGGACCAGGGTTTCAGCAGCGTGAGGGGTGAGGTAGTGCCGTAGTCTGGCGATGTTCCGGAGGTGATGGAAGGCGGTACCAGTTGTGGTGCGGATGTGAGGGAGAAAGGACAGCTCAGGGTCGAACAAAACGCCGAGGTTCCTGACTGGCTTTGAGAGGTGGAGAGTGCAGCCTTGGATGCTGATGGTGTCAGCGCCTGAGGTGCGGAGGCGCTGACGTGAGCCAATCAGGAGGGCCTCAGTTTTCCGCACGTTGAGCTGAAGAAAGTTGTCACTTGTCCAGGACTCGATGTCGGACAGGCAGCTGTCAGGACATCGGTGGTCGTGGAGTTGAGAGTAGAGGAGGAAAGGTAGAGTTGGGTGTCATCTGCATACATGTGGATGAAGAACTGATCTCCAGTGGTTACGGGGAAAGACTGGTCAATAAGGGCTGAAGAGCTGTGACTGTCCGGGACGCGGCGATCACCATCGCACACACAGACAAGACTCGTTTCCCTTCATAACAGCCCGCAGAGAGCGCGTGTCTGAGCCCCACAGACCCAACAACAACAACAACAAGAACAAAATGACACTGATATCGAGCGCCTTTCACGGCGGGAGCACATCCCGAGGCGCTGCACAGGCGGTCGGTCAGGAAGCCAGTGGTTCTGGTGTTGAGGGTGGGGGCAGAGAGGCGGAGTTGGGTGTCAACCGCGTACAGGTGGGAGTTTACCCCGTGTCTGCGGATGGCGTCAACAAGGGGGGCGCATGCGGAGTGTGAAGAGGAGGCGACCGAGGACGGAGCTCCAAGGAACGCCGCACGAGGCGTACGTGCGCGGGGGTGGGAGGGGACGCCGTTTGCTGCGACCAAGTGGAGGCGGTGTGGAAGGCGGGACCTGAACCGGTCAAGGACAGAATGTTGACACACGAGGCAGTGATGGCGTCTGAGCCGCAGGTATTCACTTCAGGATTGAATCAGTTTCAGCGTTGGATTGAAAACACGCGCCGCCATATTCCTCTCCTCTTGGCTGAATTCTCTCTGGGTCACAGCATAAATGCACGAGTTTGTGGCACTGCTTGAAAGCGGAAGCAATCATGGGGACTGATACAGCGCATAGAGATCGGGGGTCTGTCACGTGTGTAAGTATAGTCTGCGACTTTCCCATATATCACAATTATAACACAAGTCATCCAAAGTAACATGAAACTTCTCACTATAGTGAACAACAAAACAATACATTTTTTCCTGTTCTCCGTCTCCGCGTCATTGTTGTTCACATGTTTGTTTTATCTGAGAAGACGTCTGCGGATTCTGTTGGCCACCATAATGTGTCTGATGGTTAGTACATTGAAGACCAAAATAAGCAAGTATGGAATGAATGGGGCTAGAATGACATCTACCCAATTAAGTGCTGCCCAAGCAGATGAAGTGTTGAAGGTTTCTTTTAGTTTACAGAACAGCGGAACATTGTTTGTAATGAAAAAAGATTCATACACAAAGAACCAGGGGATGTCGCTCAGACCGCTCAGTACACACACAATACCTATAACCAAGGCTGCCGTTCTCTGGGTGCAATATTGTCTTTTCAGTTTCTCACTGGAATATATCACACAGCAGTCAAATGTGAAAGCGACTGTTAACCAGACAGAGCTGTCAGAAGCTGTGGCAGTCTGAAAGGTCCCGAAAGCACATACAGCAGTCAAATCCAGAAACCCAACAAGAAAAGACAGATAATTAATCCGTGTTAATATCACATCACTGATAACCACCAGCAGATCCGCCATTGCCATAGCAATCAGGTAACGAGTGACACAGGTAGAGAGACCAGGATCACAATCGACAGTAAGTTACCTGTAGGATGATAATTATTAGTCAGACTCCACATTATTTCTGGCACATACTTATGCTGAAATGTATTTAAACTAGATTGAGAATTCTGCATGTCCATGTCCCATGGAATACATACTCTCTTCCTACAGTAACACACCTCAGTATCAGACACAGTTTGCTGAACAAAAGATTGGGTAACAATTACTGGAGCTTAACCAACTACAACTGCACAGTTTGTCAATTGAGTGCATTGCCTGTATGATGTCTATGTTTGTCCAGCTGGTACTGTTCGTGTCTGAGCTTTGGCTTTGCCGTAAATGGCCCGAGTGGGAAGTCTGCCTGATCCTTCCTAATATGCTGGTAATGATTGAGGTCTGTATTACTGCAGACCCATGTGGATCAGGATTCGAACGAGAGGGTTTGAACAGTGCCACACGGTGTTGACCCCATTCCGTCAATCTGTTGCCAATCACATGCTCTTGGGGCCAGTTCAAGGAAAGCCCGCTTTACCTTCCCCCAAAGCACAATTAGCAAAGTGGTCATTTGACATCCAACAAGTCCACGGCCGAGCGCTAAGTAGGTGGGTGGCAATCACAAGGAACACCCTGTGAGCGACCTGATGGATAGCACAACTCAACGGGAAACACATGAGAGCTTTGGTACCATTTTCCTCCCCACATCTCAAACACACACATTGAATCATGGTGCCACCATTCGGTAGTGCGGAGCTTGAGCATCAGCTGCTTACCTTGAATGTAAGTATTTAAAGGACTGCAGAGCTAAGTTTAAATAACTAGCCTTTCCTCAAACCTCTTGTATATTCAAGCAATTACAAATACATGAGTGGGTTTACACCAATATAATGGAATAGGTGAGGCAGAAACATTGGGGGTAAACTATGCGATGTTGATTGACATCTTTTGTTGTGATAATCACATCAACGTGGCCCAGTTGGTTCCACTCTTGCCTCTCAGTTCTGAGGTGGTGAGTTGAAGCCCACGCAAGGCTTTCAACACGTTGATCAGACTGAAACTCCAGTGCGTTGGTTGGTGAGCACTGCATTGTCAGAAAGTTTGTCGTTCAGGTGAGGTGGTAAATTGTCCTGCAGTTTGTGCTCTTTAACATTTTATTGCACATGATACGCACCTTCTAAATTAAGTTACAATCAAACTGAAGTTAATAAATCAGACTTGCTAAATTGTCATTAGTATAAGGGAGCATTAAAATCTGATTAAAAGATCAACAATCTATTTGATGGCTTACCAAGCCCACCAATGATGGCAAGAATAGGATAGAAAATGTACATAATCTGGAAAATGATTTCTGTCTAATACACCTTTTCTGAGAAGCTGTGACATTTCTTCACTGTCACGGACGTGATGTGGACAGGCACTGATGCATCGAGTGAAGCCTCATTTATACAGTTTAGTGTCATCAGCAAATGTAACTATCTTGCACTGCGCTCTGTCATTGCAAATCATTAATATGTACAAGTAATGAAAGGTTCTTAGTATAACTCAACTTAATACCTTTCCCGATTTCTACCAGCTCACATTAAAAAGACACTTGGCATCATATTTTTGAGACAATTCTGAATCCATGTCCATATCTTACCCTGACCACAGTTTGTAAAGAATTCTTTCATGAATTAGTTTGTCAAAAGCCTTTTCGAAGTCAAATCATATTCCATCATATTGCTTCCCACTGTCAGAAGAGGCTGTCACCTCCTCAGAATCTGTAAGATTCATCAGAACAGACCCACCCTTTCAGAACCCATGATCGTTTATCAGAATATTTTTACCCCGGTAATCTTCCACTTCCTTACTGATGATTTACTCCATATTAGCTCCAATTTTTGAGTCAGATTAATGGGTCTATAGTTGCCATATTTAG